AGGGCCCATTGCTGGCTCATGGGCATCCTGTTGGCCACCAGGACTCCCAGGTCTTTCTCAGAGCTGCTCTCCAGCAGGTCACCCCCAACCTGTCCTGGTGCAGGGGGTTATTCCTCCCCAGGTGCAGCACCCGACACTTGCCCTTGTTGAATTTCATCAGGTTCCTCTCTGCCCAGCTCTCCAGCCTGTCCAGGTCTCACTGGATGGCAGCACAGCCCTCCAGCGTGTCAATGACCCCTCCTAGTTTTATGTCATCAGCAAACTTGCTGAGGGTACATTCCATCCCTTCATCCAGGTCATTGATGAATATACTGAAGAGGACTGGACCCAGCACTTACCCCTGGGGAACACCACTTGTTACAGACCTCCAGCTACACTCTGTGCCCCTCATCACAACCCTCTGTCTTTCAGCCAGTTTTCAATCCACCTCACGGTCCATTACTCTTCATCTGTACTTTGCACAGGCAACCAAGTTTCACAAGAAACGATCAAAGGCAAGAACCAAGATCTCTCTGCTACCACCTTTTCAGCTGCACAACCTCAATCCTACTTCCATTAAGAAAAAATAAATCCCAATGTGGACTGTCCCTCACAATTTGAGCAGCTCTTGCTCCTCGTTTCACTGGTTAAAAAACAAAGGTAAAACTTTATCATGCTTGCCACAAACAGATTCATTTGTTTGCTGTTCTTCAAGAGGTCATCCAAAGCCTGAAGCACTAACTCTCGGAGCGACAGACAACAGAGGCACCCTGGCAGCAGGGCAGCACACAAATACAAGCTCAGCTTTAGGGTCTAGCTAAAATCCTATTTTCTGAACACCGAAGCACATACATAGAAAAGAACCTTCCTGAAATACAGCATCTGAGGCAAATGAAACGCTTCAGCCAATCCTGTAAGATGCATGTGCAACTTCCACTGAAAGTGTGCTTGTACGTGCAGAATTGGGACAACTTCACACATCATTTTGGCTACAAAAAAAAAAAAAAACCCAATCAAGACTTTTCTGTCTCAAATTTGAGACTCCTAGATATTTTTTTTTTTTAAATAAATCACTGAAATTTTTGGGTAAAAAAAAAAAAAAAAACCCAATCAAGACTTTTCTGTCTCAAATTTGAGACTCCTAGATTTTTTTTTTTTTAAATAAATCACTGAAATTGAAAAAAGCCTAAAAGAAAAGCAGTATGTCAGCATTAAGGCACGAGTCATCCTCTTGTTGGCGTCACTTCACCTTCTCAACAAACTTTGAAGCTCCTACACACCAGGTTCCCTCTACCAGGGCGTGCAAGGGAGCTCTCAGGAGGAAGAATACTTACACTTTTCTCCTTCAAATGTTAAGACAATAACTTAATAATTCAGAAGGGGTGAATATAACTCCTCCTCCCTTGCGTTCACACCTCGGATGGGTTTATTTGTAGGATAATCTTATTCGGTGCCCTGTAATTTCCCGTATTTGGGGTAGGTGGCACACTAGGCTCATCCTTCATGAGGTGGAAGCCCTACTTGAAATCCTGCTTGGGTCTATGATTCCTTGGTACCGTGTTTCGCCAACATAAGGATGAGATAAGGAACAGAAAATAAACTACAAATAAAAATACAAAGCTCTAGGAAAGTATTTAGGAACATCTTTTGAACTTACAGAGAATCCCTTAAGGACTCGGCATTTCCTTTCTGTTCAAGTGATTTGCAGCCCTGAGGAAAGGGACTTGGGGGTGCTGGTGGAGGAGAAGCTGGACATGAGCAGGCAGTGGGCAGCTGCAGCCCAGAAGGCCAATCCCATCCTGGGCTGCATCAAAAGATGCGTTGCCAGCAGGTCCAGAGAGGGGATTCTGCCACTTTACTCTGCTCTGGTGAGACCTCACCTGGAGTATTGTGTGCAGGTCTGGAACCCTCAATATAAGAAGGACATGGACCTGATGGAGAGGGTCCAGAGGAGGGCCACAAGGATGATCAGGGGGATGGAGCACCTCTGCTACAAGGACAGGCTGAGGGAGCTGGGGTTGTTCAGCCTGGAGAAGAGGAGGCTCCAGGGAGACCTAATAGCAGCCTTCCAGTACCTGAAGGGGGCCTACAGGAAGGCTGGGGAGAGCCTGTTTAGAAAGGCCTGCAGTGACAGGACGAGGGGCAATGGCTTCAAGCTGGAGGGGAACAGATTTAGATTGGAGATTAGGAGAGGGTTCTTCACTGTGAGGGTGGTGGAGCACTGGAACAGGTTGCCCAGGGAGGTGGTTGAGGCCCCTTCCCTGGAGATATTCAAGGAGAGGCTCGACGAGGCCCTGGGCAACCTGGTCTAGTTGGGGGTGTCCCTGCTGACTGCGGGGGGTCGGACTAGATGGCCTTTGGAGGTCCCTTCCGGCCTGGGAAATTCTATGATTCTATGATTTGGGTTCATGTTAAAATCACCTTTTCCTTGCAGCAGAGTATTGCAGCAGAGAAGGTCTGACAAACCAGCAACTACTTTGAGACCCCCCCTACCCACAGCTGCTCCTCTGCCCCAGCCCTCGGCAACAAAAACTCTTGCCCAGACTTCTGTTCCTTTTCAGCAAAGAGGCATCAGCCACAGCAGGTATTTGTTTAAGAATGACAAAGGCAGTGGCTTCACAGGGGAGACTGCTGAAATGCAATCAAAAGTGTAAGTTGTGATAGTGAATGGATTTCTATTGCATGAAAAGAAGCGTGGCCAGCAGGTCCAGGGAGGTGATTCTCCCCCTCTACTCTGCTCTGGTGAGACCCCACCTGGAGTGCTGTGTCCAGCTCTGGAGTCCTCAGCACAGGAAGGACATGGACCTGCTGGAACGGGTCCAGCAGAGGGCCACGAATATATCAGAGGGATGGAGCACTTCTCCGAGGAGGACAGGCTGAGAGAGCTGGGGGTGTTCAGCCTGGAGAAGAGAAGGCTCCAGGGAGACCTTACAGCAGCCTTCCAGTACCTGAAGGGGCTACAGGAGAGATGGGGAGGGACTCTTGATCAGGGAGTGGAGCAATAGGACGAGGGGTAACGGTTTTAAACTGAAAGAGGGGAGATTTAGATGAGATATTAGGAAGAAATTCTTTGCTGTGAGGGTGGTGAGACACTGGAACAGGTTGCCCAGAGAAGCTGTGGCTGCCCCATCCCTGGAGGGGTTCAAGGCCAGGCTGGATGGGGCTTGGAGCAACCTGGTCTGGTGGGAGGTGTCCCTGCCCAGGGCAGGGGGTTGGAACTCCATGATCTTGAAGGTCCCTTCCACCTCTAACCATTCTAATATTCTATGATTTTTTTGTGTCCCCCATCTTTCTTTTAGGCAGAGGTGGTGGTAAGGGGTGGGTCTATTTTTAATAGCAGAGGAACCCACCAAAGATTTCCCAGCTCCTAAGAACGAGCCAAAGCTGTGAGGCTGCCTGTCTTTCCCATATAACACTATCCCCTTTGCAACACCATCACTTTACCTTCAAAGAGAGAATAGGGCCGGTCAGGAATGCGACATCCATGTGCACCATACTCCAAACACCATTCAGCAAACTGGGGAAAACATAAAAAAAACATATTTTTAAAATCTTTTTTTTAATTTAAGACTGTTTGATGCAAGCTGCTTGAGTACCTGCGTATCTTTAATAGGTACTAAATGTAAAATATCATTAAGCAGAGACACAATATAGAAATCACTGTCTGAGATCGATTTTGTCCCCCTTCACCCATGACGAGGCTGCAATTAGGTTTCAGGATATGTATTTCCACAGCACAAATTTCAGTTTCATAACAATTAAATTAGGCGGGCTCTACTTAACTACTGTTTTCTGTCTACTTCTACATGTCGATGAGAAATGCTATGAGAACAGATATATTCAAGTTTCAAGGGGAAAACTTTTTAATCCTGTAATACCACTTTCTTGTCTGTCTTGTTGCTTAATTTATCCACACGCTCAGGACTCGGGGTTGGTAACTGCATTTTGGTTTTCACCAATTTAAAGCATTAAATCTCTATCCACCATTACTTAGTTTTATTTATTTTCTCTCCCCAAGCCTTATGAAAATGACAATTATGGTCATCACAAGATGGAATACCATTAAAAAGAGCTACCAGTGTCTGCCTTGTGTTTGATCAGCATTGCTGGAGTAGCTCCATTGGACACACATGACTTAGGAACCACATCTGGATCCATTTCATGGCAACCATCTCTTTCTCCTTTAGGGTTCCCCCAAGCACACAGGGAGCCACGGGTTCCCCTGCCATTTCTGTGCTGGGAAGCAAATCACTACCTACTGAAAATGCAGCATGAAGATTCCTGCAAAGCAAAGACCTGAGAGGTCTCTCCCTGCTCCCTCTGCAATTTGGGCAACCTGCGAGCCAACTGATCGTCCTGCTCACTGGATGGGAGCATCCCCCACAGCCACCAGTCTGCTCAATGGGAGGATAACGGGTAGCATCTCCTCCCTCCTTCCCTCCACTCTCTTCCTGTTGAAATCTTTATCAGGGGATGGATTTGTCTTCTCTCAGTAGGGGGTGTGTGTGTGTTTGTGTGAATGTCTTGTGGAAACCCAGCAAAAAACCACACAAACACAAACGTTGTGGTCCACACTGTTACCGAGAACTGAAAAAACATTTTTGGGCTCCTCCTCTCCTGCCCCCAAGTACAAATCTTCAAACTAAGGTTTAATTTTCCACGTAATCTTGTCTTACGTGTGCAGACAGAACACGTTTATGGCTCGTTTCTAAACTACAACCAATTCTTGCAACATCCACATCTTCTTGCACACAAGCCTGTATTGCTGCTGCCAGCCCGGGAAGTGCAACGGAAATTAAAAAAAAAAAAAACAATTAAAAACCCCCAGGCTACTGAAGCACAACCATCGTTTACAAGTTCATAGCTTCAGCACAACTCACACATCCAGTGAGCCCCACTAATATCTTTGTTAAACCAAGGGGACAAAAAATAAATCAAAATCTTCTAGCAGGAAGACACCTGCTGTACTTCGTCACATAGACTGGCCACGCTTGCTATCAGCAGTGGGTTAATCCCAACGCTGAGTGGCACAGGGCTCGGATGCCCTGGATGCCACATCCCCTTTTCTCCTCTCACAGGCAGGACAGCTTAGGAGTGCCTCGTCCTCCTGGGAACCCGTCTGATAACACTGGAGAAAACGTGCAAAGCTGAAAGGGAGAAGCACAAACCAGGGGTCTCCGTGAGCCACAGCCTTTCGAGCTCTTGTGGTTGGTTGGTGAAACGGTTTCATGGTTCCCCAAGAGGTACCCAGGGATTCCTGGACACGTTTCCTTCCCCTGGGCCTCGTGTTTTTGGTGTGAGTGAACACCCTGGGAGGGGAGCCACCTAGTTCTCTCAGATACGTGCCTTCAGGCACCAACGTAACCGCATGTTTGGCTTCCCCGCATGCAAAGAGAAAAGATTTCAAGAAGGCCAGACAAGCAAATTCCTCTGCCCGTTTCGAGATCTCCCCTGCAAGAGTCTGAAGGGCCTGAGTCAATGCTGGAGATGCTGAAATGCAGAATGGGTGCAAACATGCTGCCAGACCTGCTGGGCACCTTCAGCAAACAGTCTTTGGCCACTGTGCCACGTTCTCCATCTCAAAGGGATTTCAGGTACGGAATTGAGTCTCTTTCTTCTTTGCCTTTGAAGCAGATACACTTGCTTTCCTCTAGCTAGGTATGGAAGAACGTCAGGGCTCCCCTGGGCCAGAAAAGCAGCACCACCAGAAGCTGCCAAAGCTGCAGAGAGCCCCAGGAGATGTACTAGCACGGAGGATGACAGGGAGAGGCCAAACACCAACACCTGCTTGATGCTGTGGCTCACACATCAGCGGTAGCTAAATAGCTATGTATGCAATACGAAACCTAATACCCATTAAGTAAGCTCAAAAAACCCACCCAACAAATCAAACAAAGCAGAAGCCTTATGAGATGAGGAGGAGAGAGGCTGAGAAAGCCTTCCCCTTGGGGTAACTGCTAGCATTAACAGAGCTGCCAGCAGAACCTGGACGATTCCAAGTGGAAAAAATTCTGAGCGTGTCTTTCTCTGCAATTTGTATTAATGAAAAAAAAAACAACACAAAAAATCTAAGTGAGCAATTTAATAACTGCAATTCAGAGCTCTAAAAGCCCCAAACAGACACTAGTCTGTAAACAAGTAATTACAGAAGACTACAAACAATACCGCTTGAGGAGCTGAGGGCGACAGCGGATGTCTCAATGGACTAATTAGCACCACATACCATTAGTCTGTTATTGTTCGGGCAGACTGACTTTCAGGCTCTTAATTTCTTCTGAATACGTGTTTAGTTCCGAACATTTGTGGGTTTCACTGGGAGTATTAGACGGTGCGTGCCCCACGTACACAGCTGAAGGCATCCAGTCAAGGGGTGAGACGAGGGGAGCAAGTGATGGGACACTGTGGTCCCACCAGCTCTAGCACACCACAGCCTACTCTGATCACCTTTACTCCTGCCACGGGGGTTATGATGTGAAAAAGGAACAGTGATTTTGTTAGGATGCTGCAGAGCTCACCTTGCAAGCTCGGTAGAGGTACTTTTTGTCCTGAGTTAGGTTGTAGAGAGACAAGAAGGAGTAGCCATTGCCAGCAGTGCCATGGCAGATCCCGTATCCTTTTCTCAATAAACCTCTCTGCCAGATGACATCGCTACAATCCATAGCATCTTTCAAGTATTTATCCTCTTTAAAAGTCTGTGGAATGAAAACAGAGAATAAACACACATAAATTGACGGACTAATGAAAACATCTCTCAGGTAGAGCTTTCTTTTGTTTCACTGTTGGTGTGAGGGTTTTTCCACACATAACCTATTTTGAATTTTAATAATCCATTCATCATAGACTTGCCTTTCTTTTCTTACTAAGTTGTTTCTCCTTTCCCTGCATGGAAGGAGAAAGAACTTCTCAAGGTTTGCTTCTGAAATTAGGACGCCCAAAGGAAAAACTCGAGTTCGAGGCCCTTGGCTCTAAAACCTAAAATCTATTTAAAGGGTACCTGGTCTTTTTCACTTCTCCCCTCTATTCCCAAACCACAACATCATTTGATTTGAAATACAGAAATGTACTTATTGCCTCCAAGAAGTGTAACAACAGAATACTGGCCATCATATCTGGGCCTAAAGGGCTAGATCCTGGTCTTCCTGAGTAATTCTTCCTGGTTACTCACCATCTGCCTTCAATTCCATGTGAAAATGCACACGAATATCTCTCTGCGTAGCACAAGGCTATGCAAGGAGGAACACTCACAAGTACAAGCAGGAACACTCCGTTACCTCGATTAGTATTTCTATTGTAAACACTCACAAGCACTAGCCAGTTTGGGCAAAGAACCAATTTTGCAAAGTTTATTGCAACTAAAGTGCATTTTGGACACAGAGAGCCCATCAAGAGAGCAGAAAACAAAAGCAAGTGATTTAGCTGAACACCACCAGACTTCCACCTTTATAAGGCTACTTTTTTGCTCCCTTTTGCCTAAGTCACTCTACAGATTAATGAGACCCAAAAGAAACCCAATTAAAAAATGGTAACTAGTGCACTGCTGTAGCCTCAGCCCTTCAGAGGCAGCATCCCCTGCCAGGCTATTTAATAAGGTAACAGAAGCAATTAACATGCAAGATTCTTAAATCCACAAGCTTGATAAAGAAAGTCCCTCTCTCTGAACAGGGTTTATCAGCTACTTAGCTGTAACATTTCAAATTAAGGGCTGGCAACAGCACTTGATTTCCAAGACAAACACTTCTGTCTGTTATTGCAAGTCCCCGTGCTTGGTATGAAAGCAGAGCCAGCAAAACATACTCCAATTTTTCTTACTGCTTCTTCAGAAAGCGGAATATAAAAAGAAAAGCATCATATTCCCCATCACCTTAAATAAAAAAAAAAAGGCCAGGAAGGAGACTGCTCAACAGAACTTGGTTCTACCCCTCCTATCTCCTGCCAAACATTTTGTGCCGGGGAAAGCATCGTGTTGAGAAAAAAGGGGGGGGGAGAGGGTGGGAAGGGGTCTGCAGTGTTAATTCAGCCTCCTACCACAGTCCAAAGCAAAAGCAACTGCGACTGCTGCGACGTTCAGCAACGCTGCGAGACATTTACAGTTGGTATTTCAGGTAGCTGCATGAGGAACCGTTCCACAAACCCAGCCTGCTTTTCATCAGCCCACCCAGAGGCCAAGCAGGGAATCTGCCAAGGCGGGCTGTCAAAAGCAAGAATCAATCTGCATAAGTTTAATTAAATGGCACACTTCCAAACGTCATGCAAATCAGAAGCGCACAACAGGAGAGAGAGAGAGAGCAAACCTAGTTAAGGATGGATAAGAGCGAATGCTGGGCTTGTGGGAGCTCAGTGGTTATATTTATGCCCTAGAAGGGGCCTGGGATCTTTGCTCTGATGTTCTCAAGAGCTATATCTTAATAAAGAAGTAATTTATGGAAGACATTCTTTGGCAAGACACATGAAACCACGCTTTTGAAAACCAACGTGATTTCTTCAAACTCTTGAGATGAAAATTCAAACAACTTAAGTCAATGTTCCCACACCCAGCACTCCAATATCAAATTGTTTCACTATATGGCTCTTCTCCAAGAAAGCCTAAAGTCTAGTAACTACTGACACCGTAAGAAGCAATTTCACCCACTTATTTCCTCTTTACACCTCTTTTGAGATTTTTAGATGCCTAGCCTAGGGTTCTGGTTTGAAAGCCGAGATGTAGAAAGATGTAAAATGCAAGCCTTTACAATCTTAAGGTGTCTCTCTGTAGAAAGAGGTTTCTAGGAGCACAGAATGATTCACCTTATAAGCTTGCATGAGCATGTGGATGACTCCGGGGGCCCCGTGGCACCAGTGAACCAGCCTGTCAGTCTCGTTGCTCAGGGACGACGGGTAGTTCCCAGATCGGAATTTTTTATGACGCACGTAGTCAATGCTGGGCTTCACCAGCTCTGCCAGGGTCTCCTGGTCCACCTTTGCAATTGGCTAAAGAAAACATTAAAAAAAAACAAAAAAAACCAAACCGCCGTCAAAACCATGAACAGAAAGATGTAGTAACAAATTGTGTATCAGCATTAATTCTATGATCTATTTTCAAGTATCCCACATACGCGCTCTTGATCCAAATACTTTGTATCACTTCATACAGTTTTAATTACTGTCTGCTTACAATACCCTTGTGAGGAGCATTTTTACAGCTACCGTGGAGACAGAGAAACTGGGGCACCAAGTTGTTCTCTGTCTTAACTGGAGGTGACACAGAAAGACTATGGAAGAACTGAGAATAGAATAGGGATCTCGAGACTCCCAGGCCTCTCTTTATACCTTAAAACAGAGGGAACACTCATAGGAGGAAGATGGTTTTATATTGCTCATAATACACACTTAAAACACAATGGGTTACCCGTCCTCTTTCCAAATAAATGAAGAAGAGTGTATGCAGTGGCATACCTGGCAAAAGTTAATGGAGAATAAAGTCTTCCATCATAAAAAAAAAAAACCAAACTCCCAGAAGCTATGGACTATAAATCTGCATTTCCAATTTCAGAAGCAAGAGCTGCTTCTCCAGGTAGCTAAACATCTTTGTACTACAAACTCATCCTTCGGTTGCTCTTCTGAATTTTCTTTCTCATTTCTTCTATTTAGTTGACACCCTTCCCAAAAGGAGAATCTATCCATCAACCTGCATGCTCCTGGTAAGTAAAGGTGGAGAAACCGAGTATCTGTTGGGTCTGCAGTTGCTCTTTGTTGGCATCCCCTCCTCTGCCAGCCCATTTCATAGTATTTTCCTAACAGAGCTCTCTATTTTTACGCAGCCTACACGACTTCTGGAATTCCTGCAAGCTGTGGGAACAACTGTAGAAACTGGAGCCTAATAACTGAGCTTGTTTTTTTTATAATAACTTGTCTTTGTTGCTGACTCGGCGTCATACGATTTCACCATTTCCCACCAGCTCCAGCACATTTGCATTCAAGAGGTGAGCCAAATGAAGGAAGACTTTCAATGGTTGTATTTTCAGTAACTTGAAAAAACCCAAAAGCTTCTATTTCACCTTAGCCAGGAAAGCTTTGCCCGACTTCTACCGACCAGGTCCCTCAACCACACTCCACCTCTGCACTCTTCTGAGCAGAATAGAAACCTTCACGCTGCTGATCAGAAGCCTGAATACAGATCAGCTTATCATGAAGAACTCCCCAGAGCTCATCAGCCCTCACTCAAGATGGTGTCCTGTGGGGTAGAGAGGCTCTGGGGGGCTCTGATTTCATGCTGCACCTCTGCAGCAGAAGGCAAAGCAGATGGACACCAGCACGGCAAGTCCTGCCCGGCACGTCTGTTCTTGGGAGGTAAACCTAAGAAGAGCAGAGCTCTTTACAAAGCTCCTTCTCACCTTGTTCTTCTGAGAAGATCCGAGTACAAGTGAGTTCTTTGTGCAAGCTGTTGAGGTTCCCAGCAAAAAGGTAACCTACAGGTATGTGTCCTGGTTCCCTGGCCAAGAGCAACGATATGCAAACACGCATTTTTGCCTCAGGGTTAGGGAAAGGGGCTAGGATTTGAGATTCCCTAGCTTTCACTTCAGCATTCCCCCTCTACCTCCTGGATCACAGAATCACAGAATGATTTGGAAAGGACCTCTGGAGATCATCTAGTCCAACCCCCTGACAAAGCAGGTCCACCCAGAGCAGGTCCCACAGGAACGTGTCCAGGTGGGTTTCAATGTCTCCAGAGAAGGAGACTCCACCACCTCCCTGGGCAGCCTCTGCCAGGGCTCTGCCACCCTCACAGGAAAGAAGTTCCTCCTCATGTTTAGGTGGAACTTCTTATGTTCAAGTTTGTGCCCGTTTCCTCCACTGAAAAAAGACTGCCCCCCTGGATGAGTTACTAAACACTGCTGAGCTCTTATTTTTCCAATAGTCTTTTGCAAATAAATCCAGCAACACATGTTTCCTCATAAAGGTGTACAGAAATGATGATCAGTGACCTTCATATCTAAGGTGCTATGCTGGACACCCTTTTTTTTTGTTACCAACCAGCCACTCAACAAACCATCTCCTGAAGCCTTTACTGAAAATACAGAAAAATTCTCCTCACTGGGCGTGGGAGGGATGGGGAAAGGATGGACTCCAATATGCCATCTTCTTCTGCAGTGGATGACTCAACTCTGCATGACTCACAATATTTAACGTACAGTGAAAAGGCAGTAATCTAATGCTGCATAAACAATGGCTTTGTGGTAATTCTTAAAAGCAGCAATTACCCGTAAAGAAAAAGATAGTTATGATTTTAACATGTAGCTTTTGCTTAAACCAAAAAGCACTTGTGCGATTATTTCTCCTATCGGCCTTGAATAGTAAATGAAGGATGGAGCCTTTAAAGAGGCTACTTTAAAGGACCGGATGTTTCTCAGAAAATCTAGCAAAGCCAGGGAAGGAAAAATGGAAGCCAGGAAGATGAGGGAGTCGAAAGGGGGGTGGACCACTGTGCTAAAGCAAGCAGGAAGGGAAGACCTGTTGGAGCGAGTCCAGAGGAGGGCCACGAAGATGATCAGAGGGGCTGGAGCACCTCTCCTAGGAGGACAGGCTGAGAGAGCTGGGGTTGTTCAGCCTGGAGAAGAGAAGGCCCCAGGGAGACCTTATAGTGGCCTTCCAGTACCTGAAGGGGCTACAGGAGAGATGGGGAGGGACTCTTTGTCAGAGAGTAGAGTGATAGGACAAGGGGTAATGGTTTTAAACTGAAAGAGGGGAGATTTAGATGAGATCTCAGGAAGAAATTCTTTGCTGTGAGGGTGGTGAGGCACTGGAACAGGTTGCCCAGAGAAGCTGTGGCTGCCCCATCCCTGGAGGGGTTCAAGGCCAGGCTGGATGGGGCTTGGAGCAACCTGGTCTGGTGGGAGGTGTCCCTGCCCAGGGCAGGGGGTTGGAACTGGATGGTCTTTAAGCTCCCTTCTAACTCTAACCGTTCTATGATAAGGGTGCAGTAAATCAGAGCAGCCTGAGGCCCCGGTTAGATGGTCACTGCAGAAGGTTAAGACATGCCTTCAGGTAGCAGAGCAGTAGCCACTTCCACAGCAGAGTCAGCAGCTTTACCCTGAGCTACCAGTGGAAGTGGTGTGAGCTAATGTGAAACAGATGGGGAGAAGTCACAGCATCTTCTGCAAATGAGGAACAGCTGAGCAGTGGCAACACCAACTACCAGCCCAGTCACTTTTGCAGTGAACATTTGTATGCAGCTTCAGGCTGTGAGGACGTACAACCCTTCCATGTGCCTGAAGGAAAGTCATTCTGCATGAGCTGATAAGAAAATTAACATTTACAAAGATGCCTAGACTGGCAGCACCTTTAAAAATGAGGAACAGCTACAATGCAAATTTTGCAGCTCTATAGCCATCTTCTATAATGAATCTTGATTCTGGCTCTTTTTCCAGATTGTATAACAGAAATAAGATACACAAGTCTCTTTTGAACAACTTCATAATCCTGTTGGAGAACCTCAGGGCAGGCAGGAATGGATTTAAATGTGGGAAAGAGGAGGTGTACAGGGCAGAGGAATCTCACTCAGGACAACAGGAAGAGGAAAGCAAAGGTCATAAGCACACTAAGGAACATCAGATTTTTGGGGGAGAAAAAGGGGGGATAAGGAGGAGGAAGAACATCTAAAGACTAAAAGCATGTTTAAGACTAATGTGCAATTAAGGATAGTCTTCCAAAAGCTCCGAGACAGTGAGAAAAAAAAGGTCACCAGAGAAGAGAGGAAGGGCATCGAGGGCAGAAGGCACCAGTGGTGTGCTCATGTGAAAAATAGCAAAAAATTGAAGAGTGAGAGATGGTGAGTAAGCAGGTATTTAGCTGGACTACCTGCAGGCACCAGAAGCAATAAGCATGAGGATGAGGGAAGGCACCTCACTGTCTCTGCTGAGGACAGGAAACTTCAGCTCCTGGCACACCGGCGCTCTGAACTCAAGGGTTAATTCACTCTAACACGAGGATACCCGAGTCACAGTTGCCTGAGCTGCCATCTCTGCACAGCTCTGGGCTGCAGAGTCTATCCCCAAATGGTGAGACCCCGACCCAGCACCACGCCGCACGTGCATGAAAGCTGGAGATAAGATCTGCTGATGCCAAGACAAGAAATGGTGCTTCACCCCAACCCAACAGAAGATGCTCTTACCTGCATGAGCATGTAATAGATCCCAGCCACGCCGTGGGCTGCTCCAACGTATTGCTTCCTGTGCCACTGGTACAGCAGAGGACAACGGTCTGTCTTCCGCTCCTCCTTTGAAAAGTTCTTCCCCGACTCAATAATAGCATCTATTACCTAAGACAGGCAACACACCAGTTCAATTGGAAAAGCAGCCCTGAGGAAAGGGACTTGGGGGTTCTGGTGGACGAGAAGCTGGACATGAGCAGGCAGTGGGCAGCTGCAGCCCAGAAGGTCAATCCCATCCTGGGCTGCATCAAAAGATGCGTTGCCAGCAGGTCCAGAGAGGTGATTCTGCCACTTTGCTCTGCTCTGGTGAGACCTCACCTGGAGTATTGTGTGCAGGTCTGGAGCCCTCAATATAAGAAGGACATGGACCTGATGGAGAGGGTCCAGAGGAGGGCCACAAGGATGATCAGGGGGATGGAGCACCTCTGCTACAAGGACAGGCTGAGGGAGCTGGGGTGGTTCAGCCTGGAGAAGAGGAGGCTCCGGGGAGACCTAATAGCAGCCTTCCAGTACCTGAAGGGGGCCTACAGGAAGGCTGGGGAGAGCCTGTTTAGAAAGGCCTGTAGTGACAGGACGAGGGGCAATGGCTTCAAGCTGGAGGGGAACAGATTTAGACTGGAGATCAGGAGAGGGTTCTTCACCGTGAGGGTGGTGGAGCACTGGAACAGGTTGCCCAGGGAGGTGGTTGAGGCCCCTTCCCTGGAGATATTCAAGGAGAGGCTCGACGAGGCCCTGGGCAACCTGGTCTAGTTGGGGGTGTCCCTGCTGACTGCGGGGAGGTCGGACTAGATGGCCTTTGGAGGTCCCTTCCGGCCTGGACAACTCTATGATTCTATGATTCTATGAATTGAACTCGGCTGTTGAGGTAGAAATGGAATTTTTCCTAAGTGATGGAATCCTTTCTATTTCTAAGAGTAGAAATTTAATATATAAATATTTCTAATCATAGAATCATAGAATCACAGAATGGTTTGGGTTGGAAGGGACCTCAAAGATCATCCAGTTCCAACCCCCCTGTCCTGGGCAGGGCCACCAGGTTGCTCCAAGCCCCATCCAGCCTGGCCTTGAACCCTTCCAGGGATGGGGCAGCCACAGCTTCTCTGGGCAACCTGTTCCAGTGTCTCACCACCCTCAGAGTAAAAAATTTCTTCCTGAGATCTAATCTGAATCTTTTTCTTCCAATTTAAAACCGTTTCCCCTTGTCCTATCATTACACCTCCTGGCAAAGAGTCCCTCCCCAGCTCTTCTATAGGCACTCTTCAGATATTGAAAGGCCACTATAAAGTCTCCCTGGAGCCTCCTCTTCTCCAGGCTGAATCTCCCCTCTTTCAGTTTAAATCCATTACCCCTTGGTCCTATTGCTCCACTCCCTGACAAAGAGTCCCTCCCCATCTCTCCTGTAGCCCCTTCAGGTACTGGAAGGCCACTATAAGGTCTCCCCTTCTCTTCTCCAGGCTGGAACAATCCCAGCTCCCTCAGCCTGTCCTCATAGGAGAGGTGCTCCATCCCTCTGATCATCTTTCTTCCATGTCTGCCTTCTTTGGTTCTGGTATTTGCAGAACAGTCGTGCATCTTCCCCACACTGAATTCTCCTTCTTTTCACTTGAACACTTACACACTTCTGTATTAAGATTTTGGTAATGATTTCTCATCCTCAAAGGCTCCAAAACTAGTTACGTCTTAAATCCATTTCCATGCCTGGTCACAGACCTACCTGCACTGGCCTGTCTTTATCCCAGCTGGGCAGCAGAGAAAGAAAGAAAAGATTGGAGGGACAAAAAAGACTGAGATCCCAGTTCTAGGTCCCTCTCCTCTCCACTATCCCTCTCTCAATCCCTTCGGTTATGCGAAGGAGTGATTCCAGTTCAAGCTAACTGATGCTGTGGCACTGGAGAGAGAGAAAAGCACCTTACCTCTTTGATAACAGACTGTGGGACGGTGTCTGGACCAATTTCAGTATTCAGGTAGAGCAAGGCATATAGATAACCTGCTCTGCCATAAAGCAGCTCGTCTGGAAGTTCGGCATCTGTGCTTATGACTGTCCTTTGGAGCTGCAACAACCTGCATCAGACAAGGAAGGTGGGGGGAGAGAGAAAGAGAGAGAGAGCATCTTCTCTAGAGACCATTCTGGACCATGTATTGTAGGCCAGAAGCTGAAGCCCCACCACATCCCCAGTCCAGCCTTACACACAGGAGCTCTGCAGAGCTCGCCCATCCCTCACTGGCAACTCAAGAGCCAGAGCCAGGTGAGTATCAGTGCAACTATCAGGTTTTTGTGCCTACAGACACAGATGTAGGGGTGCAGGGCTGGATGTGGCTGGAGAACTGCTCCAACAAATAGGGAGCACCACGCAGAACCTCTGGGAATCTCACCTGAGCAAGGACCCTTAAATGGAGATGTGCAAGAGGAAAATAACAGCCACAAGAACTCAGCACCACCATTCAGCGCTCCCCCTCCCCAGATAACAGCTTGTCTCAAATGTTCAGCAGCTCAGGTTTGAAAAGGGCAGTGCTGTTATGCACAGTGTTTCGTCTGCCTTTAGTGATGAAAAAAAAACCCCTTGGGCTGGCCATCACAACTCTCATATGCTCTAAAGAGACTCCCTGCTATCACTCCACTGGTCCACTTCAGAAGTGAGGTGGAGCAGAGATCTGTTTTCCTGCCCTCTCCTTCCCCGTCTCTTCCTATCTTTTGTGATTAAATTGGCAATTAGATGAAACCATGGAGATGATCACATTTTAAATTCGGGGAGAGGGCAAGACAATCAGGATTAAGACTAAATTCAATTCCCAGATGCCCCCCAACAGCTATTACTCAGCAGAAACGTTAGGGCTACCATCATGCTGGAGCAAAAACACTGACTCCAACAGCTTGTTTATGCTGTCACTCCTTAATACCAGGGAAAAGCCACTCACAGAAAAAAAAAAAGACCTTTCTGTCTAAGTGTCCACTGTTAAGTTTTATTATTCAAGTCTAAAAATGGACAACTATAAGGTAAGGAGTTAAAAGTGCAATAATAGATTATATTTTGACATCTATGACGTACCACTCAGCTGGTGTCATGAATATATTTGTAAACAAAAAAGGAAGAAAAGGAACAAATAATCAAAATAACCTCCTTGTCAGTCCTCCTCCTAGAAATGACTTTCCAAGCGAAAGCGGGACGAAAAGATTTACTGCTAATCTCATTTTTGCTATACTCATGCTGCACGCCTTACAACGCCACTGCTCTCCTAGCTGCATCCAAAATGACATGCCCAAGTCTACTGCCAGTTCAAACAGCAAAAAAAAAAACCAACCAAAATACAACCCCAAACCTACCACCCACTTCGAAACTGAAATATTCATTCAGGAACAGCAGCAGAGATCAATCACATGAAGATTTCAGATTAGAAAGAGGTCTATTCTATTTCCAAATATCAACCCGAATGGAGATGGGGACACAAGGCTAGTCCACAACTTCTGGCAGCCCGAGGCATGCTGCTGGACACAAACCCCACAGAGCTCCAGATCTTCCAGTCCTCACCAGGATAGCAATCAGCTCCCTGCCAGCAAAGGGGCAGTTGGTTCTCTCTACATCTAAAGGGGATTTCTCAAGACACAAGGCTAGTCCACAACTTCTGGCAGCCCGAGGCATGCTGCTGGACACAAACCCCACAGAGCTCCAGATCTTCCAGTCCTCACCAGGATAGCAATCAGCTCCCTGCCAGCAAAGGGGCAGTTGGTTCTCTCTACATCTAAAGGGGATTTCTCAAGACATTTGTTACATTTAGATTACTTTGAAAGCGGCTGGAATTTTTTCAGGCTACCCTTCATCAGCTCTGACCCAATTAAAGCCCTTGCCTTTGATGGTTCAGCAAATACCTCCTCTTTGTTTTATTAAATCTTTGTTACGTATCAATTTGATGTACCGTGTCTCTGCCTGGATGTTTCCAGATCCCTGCAGTGTACATGTTCTGTAATGAATCTACAATTAAGACCCACTCTTTAGAGGAAGCATCACACACTGCACAAGCACTACATATTGCCTCTGACAAGCGTGCGGCTTTTGTTAAATGTCACTTCAATGTGACAAAATCAAAACGTGCAGGCACTACAGATATGCCCAGGACATCCTGTTCTTACAGTGATAAAGGACTGGAGATAACCCACTAAACACAAATCAAGTGTAAGCCAGCTTTAAGAAAGATAAAGCCTATTTTGTATTCTTTAACTGAAAATATATCAGGGGAGAAAGTGCCTCCGTTTTTTAAGCCTGTCCTCCAAAACTCCACTCGCTAATGTTACTGAAACCACTGCTCTCTACAAATGAAGGGCATGGCTTTTTCCACCAGCAACCACTTACTTGGCAACACATTCTTTAGATTCGCTGTCATTTTTCAGCTTGTGATAAACCACAGCCCCCACCGCCAGCGGCCCCGCGTCGCCGCAGAGGAAAGTCACTCTTCTGCCATTCAGGTTGCGAAGGATTCTCTTCACATAATCGAGAGATCGCTGCAAATGGCTCTGGTTTTTCGTGACACGGTACAGTTGTAGATATAAGAGGGCAATACCTAGAACAACCACGTGGAAAAAGAGAGAGTTTCATTTACTTTTTTCCTTCTAAGCGTATCCTACTCAGTGCCTCTGAACCAGTAATTCAAATGAGAGCAGGTATTTGGGAAATTAAAACGTGTCAGTCAAGGGTCCCCGCTTATACAATGGGAAGGCATCAGGCCATCTATTTTGATTACATTTCAATTTGGATTGTGACCAAAAAAAAAAAATAATAAAAATAAATCAGACTCAAGCCCAATGGTAGACTCACAATTTGCAGAGAATGATGAAAATTCATGAATGAGACACCAACACGTGGTGAAGAAATCATAGAATCATAGAATGGTTAGAGTTGAAAGGGACCTTAAAGATCATGGAGTTCCAACCCCCCTGCCCTGGGCAGGGACACCTCCCACCAGACCAGGTTGCTCCAAGCCCCATCCAGCCTGGCCTTGAACCCCTCCAGGGATGGGGCAGCCACAGCTTCTCTGGGCAACCTGTTCCAGTGTCTCACCACCCTCACATTACAGAATTTCTTACAAATCTCTCATCAAAATCTCCCCTCTTTCAATTTAAAACTATTACCCCTTGTCCTGTGGCTCCACTCCCTGATAAATCACTGAAGACTCAAACACTCGGGCTAACGAGCGCATGTATGACCAAGTACATTGACTGTACAATACTCATCTATTACATGCAAGAAGTGACTTAATTTCCATTTGATTTGTAAAAGGATCTTTTGATAAGTTTTCTTCATTCAACTTGCCAGGTTGTTTTTTTTTTTTATAACCTTTAAATGTATTTCACAATAAGATTATCAGCTTCTACAAATTAACCTGGGTTGTAAAAGCCAGAAAGCAAACAGGTCCTCAGAGAACGCCAGAAGGTAATATCAAGCTTCACTCCATTAAACTCATTACATAGTTTTCCATTAAAACAAAACCAAACCAAACCTTAGAAATTAAAATACCATGCTGCATGGTCATGCTCGTTTCTGAACAGGGAGAGTACTCTCCTGAGCCACAATGAAAGCCCAATACACACAAGCCCCACTTAGGTCCACAGAGAGGGCACCTAAGGGGTACAAGAAGAATAGCACCATGAGAGAGCTGGTACCTCCTCAGATGTTCTCCGGATGGGCTTTGATAAGGTCTTTCTAGATGAGTCCATGAGGAGAGCTGCAGATTAGCCCAATTCAGCAGCATGGAAACTTGGGGGCTATTTACTGGGATTTCTGTAACTTTTTTTATGTTGCAACAAACGTGTAGATATTTGGGCTTGACCAAAGGATGATCAGAAAAGCAGCCATGAGTTCCAGTTCATCCAATACTTCCTTCCTTGTTACAATGGCTCCTCTAAGATGTCTGGCACATGAGAAGAACACATGTTTAAGCAAGATGGACTCTAACATGAGTGTGACGTGCCAGCAGTATGTGAGCCCACATTTTAAAGAAGCTTCACAAAGCAGAAGCTTAGGACTGGACTGCCAGGAAGGTTTGTTTAGACTTGGTACATCGCAAGTAGGACAGTTGTTCTCAGCATTCCTTTCACCTTCTGATTTGCACACTAGCAAGATGCTGCAAGGAGCAAGCCCAGGGAGAAAGTATTTACACTAAATATTTTAAAAGCCAGATCGTTTAAATATTTTTATTCATTCATTGCCCCGGGAGCCTTGAAAGAAGTTTATAACTTGGTAAAGACGTAGCTGGCGATCCTTCTAGAGGATGGAAAAACCCCACTCTCATTAGACCGCGTTGCTTGTTCATCTATGCTCTTGTTTCAGCTAATGATGGCTGTGTTACTTTTAGCTTGTGACTCATTTTCAGCAGGCTCTGGCTTATCAGCCCTAACTTCAGTTGTCAGTCACAGTGTCAGAACACAGCTCCCCGGGAGCCCAGAAAGCCCACCACTGGAGATCTTCTGCACTCACTTAGCAGCCACTCAACTTTCAGACCTCCAAACACATCTACTCTTTTAAGTCTTGAGTTGTCTAAAACTTCCCCACCCATCCACCCACAGCACCATCTGTACCTAAACATCAAGAAGAACGCGAAGAAATGTTACCCTTTCGTTGCCAGAATTAAATCTGAGCACGGGCAAAGCCTGGAGAGTTTTTCCAAGCTGCTCCCCCTCACGACATAAGGATAAAGATAAAAAAAAAACCAGACCTCCTCAGGGCACATTTCAAACACGCTGTGCTAAAAGCCTAAGTATGCCTGAAGCGTGAGCAGAGCAGGAATAGAATATGCCATTGTAATAGCAAAGTGGCACTTCAGATACATTTTGGCAGCGTGAAGAGCAATGGCCACATCAGGCTTGACAACTGGAAGCTCTACCGAAAGGATCAGAAGAACCCATTCTGATGTCTGTGAATGTCTGGAGAAGGAAGATCTGGGTTGATAGTAAATTATCCATGAGCCAGCAATGTGCCCTTCTGGCCAAGAGGGCCAATGGGATCCTGGGCTGCGTAGGGAAGAGTGTGGGCAGGAGGTGGAGGGAGGTCATTCTCCCCCTCTGCTCTGCACTGGGGAGGCCACAACTGGAATCCTGCGTCCAGTGCTGGGCTGCCCAGTTCAAGAGAGACAGGGAACTGCTGGAGAGAGTCCAGTGAAGGGCTACAAAGATGATGGAGGGATTGGAGCACCTCCCTGGTGAGGAAAGGCTGAGAGAGCTGGGGCTCTTCAGCCTGGAGAAGAGAAGGCTGAGGGGAGACATTATCTACATTTACAAGTGTCTAAAGGGTGGGTTGAGGGAGGATGGAGCCGGACTCTTTTCAGTGGTTCCCAGTGACAGGACGAGGGGCAACGGGCACAAGCTGGAACATGGGAAGCTCCATTCAAATATGAGGAAGAAATTGTTTTGGGTGAGGGTGGCAGAGCCCTGGAAGAGGCTGCCCAGGGAGGGTGTGGAGTCCCCTTCTCTGGAGATCTTCAAGCCCTGCCTGGATGCTCCTGAGTGATGTGCTCTGGGCAACCCTGCTTTGGCAGGGGGGTTGGACTGGATGGTCTCTAGACGTCCCTTCCGACTCCAACAATTCCATGACAATTCCATGACAAGCATCAATGATGCAACGCAAAATGAACGATGGTCCCTAGCAATAACCAGAGCTTGCACATGCCTGTTTATCTTCAGGAACTTCACGATCTTGCAACCCCACCTCCATACTCCCCCTTCCTCACACGTTCATCTTACCATTTTTGGACTGACAGAACAAGCACAGCCAGACTATCCATATTCCAGATTTTAAGGCTCCAAGCTCCTGGGAACAGAACATCTCCCCACTACCTACCTCCCCCCGCAACCATTACAAGATGTTGTTACCATTAGACAACTACTAACTAATAGTGAGTTGAACAGAAATAGGTAAAAAAAATCAACTCATTTTAAGAAAACCTTAAAGAAACAGGAGGTAAGCAAAAAGAAAGAGCAGCCTTAGAGAATCCAATCCTTTTGCAAGACACAGATCTCCATATACAAAAGCCAATTATCTCTCTGCAACTTTGTTTGCTGAAGCCAATGGAAGTCATTCCAGACAGTAGTGACCAAGGGTCCAGAGTTAAAAGAAACCAACTCACACAAATGTCTGTATCAGAGCGTTTCTGCCACTCCTGTGAGAATACCAGAACCTCCTCCTGTGAATAAACCCAATTACATCCTTTAACAAACACATTTCACTCAAATTCTAGCTTTCTCACCAGTCCAGCCAGTATAGGCAGAGCAGTCATGTGGATCTGCCGTCTTCAGCCCTTCCTCCATTTGTTGCAGAAGGTCCTTGATTTTTGCCTGGATCCGTTTTGAGAACTGAGCGTTGACCTGAAAAGAGGAGACAGAGAGAAAGGGAGCGAGTCAGGAAAGGAAAGAATCCAAGAATGCAAACTGTCTGCTCCACTTTCTTGTTTGGGGAAAAAGAAACCACCCAAAACCAACCAAAAAAAAATAATAGTGAGGGAATAAACACTACGTACAGCAATCAGCAGTGTCAAGGTGGTTCATCTTAAGTGTGTCATACGTAATGCATTCTGATTGCACATTAGAGTAAATTACGAGTTGCCACATTAGACAAAAATTATCTGGGGATGCTTTAAAGTCACATGAAGAGCAGTTATGGACACTGTGACAGTATGTAATTATATGCTGCCCCGTATCTCAGGCTCTTAATACAGTAAGCAAAGCTTCTCTGAGCTGAGTAAAAGGTGAACAGAAGCAAACAGAAGACAACCATCTGCTGCCACTCCATGGGCCAGCAGTCCATTCAGGATCCTGGTACCAAGACCATGTTATGGACAAACACAGCAGAGTGAACCGACAAGCCCCATGTTACGGATGCTTGCTCTCATCACAAGGTCCCTGCACACCCCCCGTGGCACTATGGAGCAAGAAACAGCTAAAGGAAAATAAATGCTCATATTTGAGACAGTCAAGTCAAATTCAAGCCATCATCTATGATGATCTCAACCAATATCATCCATGATGAGGTTCAAAAAGGCCAAGTGCTGGGCTGCAGGCTGGGGGCAGAGTGGCTGGAGCTGCCTGGCAGAAAAGGACCTGGGGCTGTTGGGCAGCTGTTGGCTGAACAGGAGCCAGCAGTGTGCCCAGGTGGCCAAGGTGGCCACCAGCATCCTGGCCTGGATCAGGAACAGTGTGGGGAGTAGGACTTGGGAGAGCAGGAACAGTGTGGGGAGTAGGACTCGGGAGAGGATCGTTACCCTGTACTGGGCACTGGTGAGGTCTCACCTTGAGGGCTGGATCCAGTTTTGGGCCCCCTCCCACAAAAAAAGGAGGTTCAGATTGGAGATTGGGACAAATGTTTCCAGGGAAAGGGTTCTGAAGCCTTGGACTGGGCTGCCCAGCGAAGGGGTTGAGGCCCCATCCCTGGAGGGATTTAAAAGCCGGGTTGCCATAGTGCTTAGAGACATGGGTTAGTGATGGGTTTTATCAGAGTGAGGTTGATGGTTGGACTAGATGATCTGAAAGTTCCCTTCCAACCCGGACAATTCTATGATTCAATGATGTATTCACATTTTCTTCTTAAATCCAAGACTTTTTTTTTGCTGTCCCAGTTTGTGATTGCCACACAGAAGACAAGTCGCATAAATACCCTTCCTCCTCCTCCTTTCTCTCTCCTCTCCCCCAAACACTATTCGGATCGACATGCTTTTTCATGAGAGGAGGTTGTTAAATGCAGTGACTTAGTAAAGAACAACTACCTGAAAGAAAGAACTAGACACAAAGAGGACAAATAAAAGTAGCTTGGCAGTTTCAGCTCACACATGAAGGTGGATTGAAACAAAACTTTTGATTTTACACATTGCTTGCTTTTACTTTTGATCAACAAAAGTTTACGCAGATGCCATATATGAAATATAACAGAGGATATACACATCTATATTTATGGTTTTTTTTTTTTAACTGCAGAAGGAGAAATTAGTTTATTAGAAAGGTAAGTTCTTGCTTGATTACAAGACATCCCAAAAGGGAAGGGTTCAGCTAAATGCCACCTTGGATGCCACCATGTAATTGATTACTCCAAATACACCACACTTTGTACTCTTGTTCAGAGCAGAACTTCAAATAAGTATCAGTAAATTCAAACATCCATTAAACAGATTCAGAAATCAGAAAGGCAACAGGAATTAACACAAGTCCTTTGACACACCAGAAGTCTCCAGGGACAACAGTTCAAATCTACTTTATGACAGTAGGATAGGGAGGGAGAAGGAAATTGTGGCGTTTTATCTCATGTCGCACACATACCACTTCTAGGAAGGACCCCTTAGCCTTCTTCAGTAACTCCAGAAATAGCAACCAAACACAGTAAGCACCTGATGGCTATTACTCTTTGGCCTTAATATGGCATTAAGCATCTTTTTGTGAGGAAACTGTACTCAGTATATACAACTCCCTCCCCCAACTCTTCGAATAGGTAGACCTGCTCTAGGTAGACCCACTCCAGTGGGGGGGGTTGGACTTGATGATCTCCAGAGGTCCCTTCCAACCCCATATGATTCTATGATTCTATGACTGGTTCAGTGAAGTCTTAACACAAAGCAAAACCTGTCCCAAGGGCAGGGCTTCTCTCCTTCAGAAGGCAGCTATTGCCAAGGCATATGGTGAAACAGCGTGAGGATACCCACGCGGATGCAGCCAGGCACACAACTCAGCTTGTCTGACAAGAGTGACCTCAGGTTTCCCACTCCTGCTTAATTTATCTACCACACATCACAAGCAGGCTGGGTATCTGCGTGTTCTGACAATACATCTGCTGTTACCAAAGCAGGATTGATTTTTTTAAATTTTTTTTTTTTTTTTAATCAAACACCAGATGAAATGACTTAAGAGGCAGGAGGAGAGTACTAGGACAACAGGACACCTGGCTTCTGCTCTGAAACCCTGGCTCCATACAAGTAATTTAGCTCAGGTTGGTATATCTCTCTAACGGGGATTGTAACTTACCTAGCTTGGAAAAGCACAGAGGAAAGGATTTAAAAATAATCATTATAATTACTTATCAGCCCAAACAAAATTACTCCCAAGCTTATGCCAGCGTGAACAGGTTGTGAGTGGTGACAAAGTTTTCCCCAGTTCTTCCACCACGGAGGAACTGGGGAACTTTCCCCTTTTCCCCCCCACCCCGGTTGCTCTGAAGCTTTCACAAGCGAGCACTGTTCCTTTGATAAGATTCCACTATAAGCTTATAACAGATGCTTACGCGCACTAGAATAAATTAATTACATAAAGAAATGAATGTTGAAAGGTAGCTTTGGAAGATTTATAAAGCTCCTTCAAGGAATCTTATAGCAGCATTACAGCTAAGCATAAAGCACGCTAATTCCTGTTGAGCGCAGATTGATTTTCATGAGAAGTGTATTCATTTCATGAGAATGAATCCAGCTGGTGTTCAGCCTCTTCCACAGGTGACCTGTTATTCCTGTAGGGACAAAAAAAACCCAGGAAGCCTGACCTCTGATATCCAGCATCACATTTACTCCTGGTTTACAACAGACTGGGTGTCTGAAGGACACCAGAGTATCTAGCTCCACCTAGATGGGAGCGTCGACCTGCTGGAGGGTAGAAAGACTTTGTAGAGGGATCTGGACATGCTGGATGGATGGGCCGAGGCCAATGGGATGAGGTTCAACAAGGCCAAGTGCCGGGTCCTGCCCTTGGGTCACCCCACAACCCCCTGCAGCGCTACAGGCTGGGGGCAGAGTGGCTGGAGCTGCCTGGCAGAAAAGGACCTGGGGGTGTTGGTCGCCTGTGGGCTGAACAGGAGCCAGCAGTGTGCCCAGGTGGCCAACAGCATCCTGGCCTGTGTCAGGAACAGCCCCCTGTATGGGGCACTAGGGAGGCCCCATCTCGAGGGCTGGGTCCAGTTTTGGGGTCCTTCCCACAAAAAAGCCATTGAGGGGCTGGAGCGGGTCCAGAGAAGGGCAACGGAGCTGGTGAGGGGTCTGGAGAAGAAGTCTTGTGAGGAGAGGCTGAGGGAGCTGGGGGTGTTGAGCCTGGAGAAAAGGAGGCTGAGGGGAGACCTTCTGGCTCTCTCCAACTCCCTGAAAGGAGGGTGTAGCCAGGGGGGGTCGGTCTCTTCTCCCAAGTCCCAGGCGATGGGACAAGAGGAAATGGCCTCCAGTTGCACCAGGGGAGGTTCAGGTTGGAGATTGGGACAAATGTTTCCAGGGAAAGGGTTCTTAAGCCTTGGACTGGGCTGCCCAGGGAAGGGGTTGAGGCCCCATCCCTGGAGGGATTTAAAAGCCGGGTTGCCCTAGTGCTTAGAGACATGGGTTAGTGATGGATTTGATCAGAGTGAGGTTGATGGTTGGACCAGATGATCTGAAAGGTCCCTTCCAACCTGGACAATTCTATGATTCTAATTCTATGATAGAAAAGCCTCTCTCCAGGAATTCAACTGCTGCATGACCCCTCTGCTGCTGCAGGAAGAACAAACACTTTCATCCCAACCACTGCTCAAGTTTTAAATTGGCAAAACAAAAAATGAGAGCTTATTCCCCTTTTTATACCCAACAGAACCCTGTCCCGTATTGACTATGGTAAAAAGAAAGGCTCGTTCCCAGCATGAAACAAAAGGAGTGCAGAAAAATACAAATATGTCAGTTTTGCAGATCATTTAGTGATTTATTTGAACCATATCACTTTTCCTGTTGCAGTGAGGCAGTATGCAAAGCTACATCCCAATCCAAAGCTGCCTGAAGCCAACAAAAATGTAAGGAATCTAAGGGTATATATAACAGCACTCACCCTTGGCACTAATGACACGGTGTCCAAATTATGCTGTCCTCGTCAGCTATACCCATTTCCCCTCTCTCTTCTCTTTCATGTGTAGTGTTCCTAAAAAGAACTTAAATCATCTTCTTTTGTAAACCTAGCACTAAAACTCTGCACACACGTTATAAAAAAATACACCGTGATGCAAATAAAAATCTCCTAGAAGAAACACACATCCCACTTGCAGCTGATATTACAATAACATACTGATTCTTAGTGACCTGCTGCTCCATTACAGCCACGTCCAGCTTTAGAGATGTGGCTTTAAAACCAACCAGCCCCAAGAGCAGATGAGGCAATGAGCAGCTACTGCGTTATGTGTTTCACACCCTGATTTCTGGTAGCTCAAAAGCCTTGCGTGCACATTTGGACTGGGTATCACGTTGCTTACCTTAGTCTCACAACACAACTGTGAGGCTTCATGGCACTCTTTTTGTGTTTAGAAGCAATACCCTGGTTGGACAGACCCAGGATGAGTTATCTTATTTGCCTTTGTCAAGGACATTTAGATACTGAGGTGTTTTTCCAAA